TCATCGTGTTCCCGTTAGTTAACAGTACACGTCACTGGGTTTTTAACGGAAGGACCAAATCGGGGTAGAAATGGTAAACAGTAGGGACCAAATCAGGGATTTTTTTAGTTCAGGGACCAAATTGGGGGTCCGTACAATAGTTCAGGGACCAAAAAGGGGTTTTAACCTTTATTTTAATGACATTATTATATATAGTAAGAGTTTAATTGATCTTATTGAGCATCTGTGAATGGTATTAGAGGTTTTGAGAAAAGAAAAGTTGTTTGCTAGCCTTAAAAAGTGTTCCTTTTGCACAAATCAAATTGTCTTTTTAGGGTATGTTGTTTTAGCTGATGGAATTGTAGTAGACGAAGAAAAGATTAAGGCTATTAAAAAATGGCCAACACCTTAGAATATTTCTGAGGTGTGGAGTTTTCATGGTTTGCCAAGCTTCTACCAGAGATACATCGAGGACTTCAGCACAATTGTAGCTTCGTTGACTAAAATCGTGAAAAAAAGTGTTGGATTTAAGTGGGAAAGTGAACAGGAGAATGCTTTCAATTTGATTAAGGAGAATTTAATTTTTGCACCATTACTTGCTTTACCTAATTTTACTAAAACTTTTGAAATTGAATGTGATGCATCAGGTATTTGCATTGGTGCTGTTTTGATGCAAGAATAGCGGCCTATTACGTTTTTCAATGAAAAATTGACTAATGCAACACTTAACTATCTTACATATGACAAAGAGATGTACGCATTGGTAAAGGCCTTGCATCTTTGGTCCAAGTTATCCGAGTCTTGCACAAGGACCAACAGAGGACTACCCAACTTCTCACTAATTTGCAAACTCAGCATACCATGCAAGATTAAGGTCAACTAGCCAACCTAGTTGGAACGTCTCAACCTCACCAACTAAAAGAAGTTCAGACTAGGTTTACTGACAGTAATGGGGGCTATTGCACAGCCAAACAACTTAGCACCACCAACAATTGTAACTACCAATACCGAGGGAGTTCCACCAAACGCAATTGACCCTACTCAAGGCTTCGTCACCATTGAAAATCTCATTACTCTTTTAAATAAGAAGCGTTCTAGGTAAGGCCCAACTACTTTCTAGCTCATCTGTGATCCGTCCTATCCAAAGAAAGTTCTATCCAAGCCTTATCTGAAGAAGTATGAGAGTCTTGCATTCTCACAATATGATGGAAAGAAAGGCAGCGTTGTGGAACACGTTAGCAAGTTCCTTGATGCCATGGGGGCTTACACTGACAATTAAGATTTATACCTATGTGAGTTCTCAAAATCTCTCTTCAATAAAGGTTATACATGGTACACCACTTTGCTTCCTAGCTCTATCCATTCTTGGGATGAGATGGTTGAGCAATTTTGCCAAAAATACTTTCAGAGTGAAGAATGCATCACCATCCTTGATCTACACAACACTCACCAATGCACGAGTGAAGATTTGATGGTTTATGTAAAAAGACTTAGAGATTTGGCACTTGATTGCTACGATGGCCATGCTGAGTCCTTCTTGGTGGAGATCTGTATCAATAAGATGTTTTCGGAGTATCGTGCTATCCTTGAAAACATTGAGATCAATCAATTTGCAAGGCTGCTCGATGTTGCCAGAAAAACAACCATTTTCGTTAAAGCTATCTCTATTAGGAAATTTGTAGCAAAGTCAACAGAAAAGAAAGCCATTGCTCACACTTTGGTTGTCTCTGTCCGGGCCAAGGACAAGGTTAGAAAATAGAGATTACGACATAGCATCGCCACCACCCATTCTTTTAACTATTGAAGAACTTGATGTGCTCTTCGATTAGTGGATTGCTAACGGCGCCATCACATTGCCTCAATTGCTCCGCGAGCCTAACAATGATGACAAGCGCAACCCCAAGTACTATCACTATCACCGTTTTGTCCATCACTCAACCATGGACTATTTTTCCTTGAGAAGAATATATCATCGATGGGTCTCAAAGGGATTGTTAGAAGTCCTAAACAAAAGATAGATAGTGGATGAAGACCCTCTTCCACGTCACTACCAAGGCGTTGTCAATGTTCTTACACATGTAGAAAGCATCAGAACAAGTGCACTGATAATTGATATTACTGACAATACACCTAGCTATTAGTCCATGCACTCCAACGAACTCCGAAATTTAAGATGTTTAACCAGCTTGGTCTCACTGCCAAAACACAACGAAGAGCCACAGAAGCCATCCTCTCTATCATTGATGAGACCAAAGGAAAGTGCCTCAACGATGAAGCACATGCTAGTCGTGCCTATCTTAAGTCCTCTAGTGCCATCACATTCACTAATGAAGATATGGAGGCACCATATCTTGATCAAAAGAAACCTCTTTATTTATTTGCTCAAATCAACTTTGTCGGCATTAAGTGTGCACTTGTTGACACTGGATCCTCTCTGAACTTGATATCGTTGAGCACCATCATCACTGTAGGAATTCCCTAACGAAAGATTGTCAAGTCTTCATTCAACATTTTGGTAGCGGTAATGAGCGTGCCCTTAGATACATTCAGCTTGAATTAAAGGTCAGTCCAATTCAATCTCAAACTACCTTTTATGTTATTGATGCAAATGTTTCTTATCATATGTTGTTGGGACGACCATGGCTACATTGAAATAAAATTATTCCTTCTACTTATCACCAATGTGTCAAGGGTTGTTTGAATGGGATGGTTTTTTGCATCTCTGTCAATCCATTTCCATTCGATGAAACTAAGACACACTTTGCTGAAGTCACTTTTTATAATGAGTTTGCTCCTTTTGGCGAAGCGACAATATCTTGCCCAGTCGACACTGCTTTGCCAGCATGGAACGACATCAAGGATAACCCTAATCTTGATCTATGAAGTGTTCTTGAACATAAGAGGCAGAAGAAGAAGGTAGAAAAGGCTATCCAAGCATGCCCAAAATGCACTTAAATTGTCCATCCCGATGAGAGGGTCAAGTATACTTTGTGAAGGTGCATAGGGCCTCTCAACCATATGCGGGATGGCTTCATCGCCAGTAGCTTACCCATGTCTTTTGATCATTTATTCCCCATCTGAAAGAAAGACATTTTGAGTAATAAATAAGATCTTTCCAGTGAAGCAAAATGCCCTACTCTTGAGGTTGGAAATAAAATAGTTGTTGAGCATTTAGGTTTTTCTAGCAAAGCTAATCATCTAGTTCCATCGGACAAGTTACCAACCCTCCATGAGGCTCAACCAGCACTTATTTCTTTGGCATATCTCGAAGCTGTTGATCTTGGGGATAATCTAACGAATCCTAGACATGTACATGTTAGCATTTCTTTTTTTGTTGATGAGAAAGCCAAGATGATCAATTTGCTTCAGAAGTACAAGCATGTTTTCACCTAGAACTATGATGAGATACCGAGGCTTGATCCAACTGAGGTGGCTCATTCTATAAATGTTGATTCTAAAGTATAGCTAGTTGTGCAGCAAAACCATGTGTTTCATCTAGAAGTTACTCTCAAAATCAAAGAAGAGGTTGAAAAGCTATTGGTCTCAAGATTCATCAAGTTGACCAAAAAGCCCACTTGGCTGGCTCATATTGTACTAGTTTGAAAGAAGAATGGGCAAATTAGGTGCTGCGTTGACTTCCGTGACCTCAACAAGGCGTGCCTTAAGGATGAGTTCTCTATCCCAAACATGGATGTCCTGACAGACAATACCATTGGGTGTGAGATGTATTGTCTCATGGATGGCAGCAATGGATACAACCAAGTCAGTATGTGCCTAAGCGATGTGGAGAAAACTGCTTTTTGCATCCCTATTGATAACTTTTATTATGTTGTTATGCCTTTTGGACTTAAAGATGCTGGGGCTCTTATCAAAGAGTCATGGTGGCTATCTTTCATGATTTCATTCACATTCATATTGAAATCTACATTGACAACATTGTGGTAAAGTCTAAAAAAGACTAGGCCACTTTAATGTGTTGAGAAAGGTCTTTGACAGATGTCGTTTATGTAAGCTGAAAATGAACCCAGTGAAGTGTGCATTTGGCATCTCCGTTGGAAAGTTTCTGGGTTTTCCAATAAATAAACATGGCATCAGTGTAGATCCAATCAAGTTTAAAGTTATTCGAGCCATGTAGTAGCCTAAGAATCTCAAGCAACTACAAAGCTTCATTAGCAAGGTCTTATATATCCACAGATTTATCCCTTCATTGGTAGAAATTTTATCCATGTTTAACCCTTTGTTGAGGAAAGGGGCCGCTTTCACATGGATGGAGGAGCAGCAACAAGCCTTCTTACATCTATAGGATCTCATGCTTAGATTACCAACCATATATGTCCCCATCCAAGGCAAGCCGCTTAAAGTTTATTTGTCCACTTCTAACAAGGTTGTGGGTGCTCTAGTCGCCCAATGATGAAGAAGGCAAAGAACAACTTGTTTATTATGTCAGCTAAAACCTTAAGGGTGCTGAATTGAGATACCCTCTTGTTGAGAAAATTTGCGTTGCACTAATTTATGTATCTCAACACCTTTGACATTACTTTTTGGCTCACAAAATGCAACTCATTACCAAATCTCAGCCTGTTAGGTCCCTTTTAACTTAGCCCATGCTCACCAGCCGTCTTGCTAATTGGCTTCTTCAATTATCTCAATATGATATTACGTGCATTAATCCTAATGTTATCAAGGGATAGGTTATTGCAGACTTGCTATCTGAATTCTCTGGCAAAGTCTAGTACCCTATTTCTAACGAAGTTGCTAGTAGAGAGATTGTTGCTATGCAAGAAATTGAAGAATAATGCACATTATACTTTGATGGTTCTTCCACAATTGAAGGAGCTGGGGTTGGCATTGTTCTCAGAGATGACAAAGGCCATGATACGGTATTTTCATTCAAGATGGATTTTCAGTGCACAAACAAAATGGTGTGCAGTGCATCTTGTTGGCCTTGCCACAGCTAGAGAAGCTGGTGTGCAGCATTTGAAAATCATTGGCAATTCAGGTTTCACCCTCAGTTAAGTTCAAGGTACCTTTTTTGTCCAAGAGGAACATCTTGTGCCATATCACTCCTTTAGCTAAAACTTGGTTTGCTAACATAGGAAATGAGCAAGTGCCGTGGATAGAGAACTAGTTGGTTGATGCTTTAGCCATGATCACTTCGAGGGTGCCTATGGCTAAAAATCCCTTCAACATTCAAATTGTCTGGAAAGAGCAACCTATCTATCACAACTATGAATCCGCTTTATTCAAGTTGCTTGACCGTGTTGACTTGTGATATGAAATTATAACATTCTATTGCAACAAAGACTTGATGTGCCTTTGAAGTATCGGTCCAACTATGTTATCATTTCTCTTGAGCTATATTATCTCCTCTCCAGCAGTATCATGGCTAGGTGCATCAGCGACAAAGAGGCTTATCACAAACTTAGAGAAATTCATGATCGCATGTTTGGCCAAGATAGTCTTGTGAGCCTATATCACCTGATCCAACAAGCAGTGTATTATTGGTTAGACATGGTAAAGCAAGTTATTGAACTTCAACAACCATGTGTATCCTACCAACAAACATATTATCAGGGTGAATAATGCTTCTTTGCCAACGAGCTTCAAGATTGGAATCATCCTTACATAAAATACTTTGTTGAGGGAATATAGCTAGAATCCTTGAAGGATGCACACAACTTACAGAAATCCCTGTGAAAGTTTGTCATGGATGGCAGAGTTTGTTCTGCACTAGCTTCGTTGGTGAACTGCTTCACTGCTTATCATTGACAACGTCTCAAAAAGCTATGGCTAAGGTACATGTAGGAGAATGTGGCGACACTAGGAACGAGGGAAGCTATATGAGCAACTCTTGGCTCATGGTTATCATTGGCCAAGTATGAAACAAGATGCTGCAGATTTCATCTAGTGATGTCACACTTGCCAAGTTCATGCTAGCATTATTCATTCTCACCTTAATCTGTTGCAAGACATGAAAACTTTTTGGCCTTTTCATACTTGGGGCTTGGATCTCATCAATCTTATCCACCCCCCATCTGAGGGTTATATTTGGATATTGGTGGCCACTAAATATTTCACCAAATGGATGGAGGTAGTCCCTCTTCGCAGGGCTATAGGTCTAGTGGTGTCGAATTTCATCAAGGAACACATTATCTACTGCTTTGGAATTCCATACAAAATTGTAAGTGATAATAGAACTCCTTTTATCAATCAACATGTGCGAAGATTGTTGGACACATATAAGATCAAGCATCGGAAGTCCACTTCGTACTATCCCCAAGGCAATGGCCAAGTGGAGGCAACAGCTAAGCGAAGGCAACTAGTAAAAGTTCGTTAAGGATTTTGAGCAAGATAGTCTATGAGTATGAATGAGGATGGAGCATTCATTTGCAAGACACTCTTTGGGCTCATTGGACATCCCCCAAGACTATTACGGGGTTTTTGCCTTATTTTTTAGTATGTGGCTGTGATGCTGTTTTACCTGACAAAGTCCTAGTGCCAACCGCACACATCTTGGCTGCATCTAAACTGGACAACAACATTCATATTTGTGGCCAAATAGCACAAGAAAAGGTGCAAAAGTATCGAGCCAAGATGACAAATGCTTACAACTGTGCAATCAAAGCCTAAGTTTTCATAATAGGACAGATGGTTTTCAAAGCCTTTGACCATGTGAGGAAGAACATCACTGATCCATCCAAGTTTGCTGTAAATTGGGACGATCTTTTCATCGCTATTGAGGCACATGACAGTGGATATTATCGTCTCAAAATTCACAAGGGAGAATCATTATTGGACCCTCGTAAATGCTAAGTGGCTAAAGCCGTACTATTGCTAGGCTTCGCCAGCATCGTTTCGTAAAAAGTAAGCACTTTTCATTTTGTAATTTTATCTCTTGCACTACAATCTGTTCCAACCAAGAGGATTGAATCCATCTTTGATTGGCCATTACTTGTAAAGCATGAATAGCACTCTCTTGTTGTATTCGGCACTTTATGTACTAGCTTGTTTGTACTCCCTTTGTTATCACCCTGTAAAGATAGGGAGCGTTGGCACAAAAAAAAAAAAAAGGGAAGAAGAAGAAGAAAAAGAGAGAGTGCATCATGCAACATGATCATAAAACAACCTCCTTGATCCATTTTTCATATGTAAATAACATAAATCTATTCGTCCAAGTGCCACACTCAAAACATCAGAAAGATATAAGCAAGAAAACAAACAAGTAGCAGGGTCTAGACTTCGTTGGAAATAAAGATGTTCAATCCAAAACAAACATAACTAGAGGGTTACATCATGGCAATATCGTCAATAGTGAACACATTACAAAGGAAGAAGAATAAGAGATGAAGAGAAAGCTGGGACACATGATTGCTCATGGTAGGAAAAGACCAGGCTCATCCTTAAAAGCCTTGCCAGCCTCAATGCAGGTTTGGTGAACCTCGACTGCACCATTGGAACTCAGGCACTTTTTTTCTTGGTTGAGTGATCCCATGTATCCCTTAGTTAACACCAGTCCCTTTTCCAGCTTGAGCACAAGCTCTTTCGTCTCAATCAAGGATTTTTGCAACTTTTTGACATGCTTTGCCTGCTCCTTAATGCACTCATCCAAGCTCTCAACCATGTCACTTCCAGCCATGCCAAACATAGTCTTCCTAAGGTATGCCTTTGCCAAATTTGATAGATGTGTGTGGATGACATCGTCCTCAAAATTTATACTTTCGACGTCATCAATGGCATCCCTACACAAATAGAAGAAGTCATCATTCATTTCATCAAAAAGGGTTACCTCCATATGTCGCATGGTTGCGTAGAGGATTGAGAAGGTGTCTTCAACCACCATTTTCTTGGCTTTGCTGCGTGTTGTCAAATTTGGAAAAATATCTAACAAGTCGTGTGCCCATGCTTCCAACATTGCGAGCACTGCGAATTTGCTCGCTGGTCGCAAGCCATCTATGGGTACTAAGCTGAATCAAGCTAGTGACACATCTCTATCCTTGTTCATTTCACCAAGATTCTTGAGCAATCTTGCCGCAAAGTCATCGGTCTCACCTAACTTAGTTGGAACCGAGGATGGCTCACCATTGTGCTCAGTCTTGTTAGGACTAACAACTTTCTTTGTTGAACTCATGGCTAACGTGCCAGGATCCACTTTACCTTTACTGGAGATGGATTTCTTCGCAACATCGCCCACATTAGATTCTAATTCCTCGGGGACAACTCTATTTATGTCAATGCCACCTCGGAAACCTACGTCCTTGCCCCCTTGTTTGAAACCATTCTCACTTTCAGACAAGGCATCATTGCCACTGAATTTGTTGTTGTTGCTATTGCTGGAATCAGAGTTGATTTCTTCAGTGACCTTCTTCCCTTTTCTTCACTAGCACCAACTGTAGCCTTGGCCTTGCCTTTTTCAACACTTGTGAATTGAATTAGGGCATAATTAATCAACAAAGAATTATGTCATTCGACCAAGAAAAGTGCCAAAATGTAAGGTGTTTCATTGGATTGTTTAGAATACCTTTCTCATCGACAGTAGTAACAACTTTCTTCTTCGATATAAATCCTCTTGGGACTAGTTCGAAGTCGCTAGCCCTGAAAGGAGGTAATTCATTAATGGGACGTAGCTATGCATGAAGAGAAAGACCTCAGCTAAGTCAACAATTTGACGTCAATTACTATTAGAATGATTTTTAGATTTTTTTTTTTATTTTAATGAAGATGCAGAGGCTCATACCTTCAATACCATTGCTTCTAGCTGAATCTTTGCTATTTCGGGCCATATAAAATCTTCATGCCTTCCCTAGCTTGAAGCAAAGTAAAAAGGGGCTTAACAGGCACACTTCAACATTTTTATCTTGATTACAAAAGACAAGGAACAAGTCCACATGGCTTACCATAGAAGGCTTTTGTGGCGGAAGTTCATTGGCTTTAGCTTTCTTCACCGACTCGGTTGTGAAGGATGCAGGATCACTCTAATCAATGATAGAGTCAACAAGACTAAGTATGTCACTAGGAAGTGGAGTGTCACAGGGTGAGACTAGCTCCGATAGCACTTGTCACGGAGGCGGAATCTAGCTGGTCCCCATGCGGCACTTAGCTCGGAATTAACCCCTTAAACCTAAACCAAGTTAACCTTCCCCAACACTTGGCGTGGCCTTCTAACTAGACTTGAGGTTAGCAACACGTAACTACGAAGGTAGGAAGTTGGGAGAAGAAGAGAATTTATTAAGATCGCAAGGAAGTATACAAGAGCTTGAGTACACAGCCCCTCTATGCACTCACTCACCTAGCAGCTCACTCTTGTTAGCTAACTCTCTATCTCACGCCTTCTATGTGGCCTCCTTATTTATAGAAGAGGTCTGGCCCAAGAGCCCTTTGTAGGTGAGTCTCTATAACACTCCACACAATTCCCTTATATTTATAATTTCCAAAAGCTTCTCCACTTTCCCTCCTAGCCTAATCCTACATTATTCTAGAACAACCCATTCTAAAATTATGTACAAGGCCTTAGGAAAATATTTACATGAGTTGGGCCCAATGGGCCCGTCCAAACCCCTATTTGGAACCATCCCCTTGTCTGGAACCATCCCTGCGCATCTAGCAGCTTCTAGAATGTTTTGGGCTACTCCAGTCCGTCACAATGGTATCGACACCATAATCCTGTGCATTTTCCACGTGTTGACACTCTGTCCGCTACTGCCATCGCACACTATATGGACGCCCTTGGCCGCTCATGCGCGCGCCTGCGTGTCTCGACGGCGACCCCATGCAAGGCCTGCCTCTTGAGCGTTCCATGTCACGCTTGTGCTCGCGTCCGTGCCCGCGTCCATGCCCGTGGCTATCATGGCTGCCGCCTCTTGCCACGATGGCCTTGACTTGGGCCCTCAAACTCGTGCTCCATGACAAGAGGCTCACCTATTTTGTCAGCTAGAATTCTCTAATGAACTTCAAGATTTATTAAGGCTTCTTCCATGTTCATTACCAAGGCTTCCACTATTTTAGCCTTTTAAGACTTGGACGAAGCCTTATCATCACCGAGGATGGGAATAAGACTAAGGCCTTCACTGGAAGCTACTAATTGCTCATACAAACATTAAGCCATATGTCAAAGGATCCTCAGTGAGGTCAACAATGACAAAGAGACACACGAAGGAAAGGCCTAGCAATATGCCTACCTGGAATGAAGCACTTGAATCATAGTACTTCTCGCCCAAGCATTTACCATTGTGAGTAGGTCTCAATCTTTGGATCTACTCAATTACCTCTGGATCTGGATTGCCCCAAGAGCTCTCATCGCTATTGTTGTCATTATTCGTCTCCTTTGCCTTAGTAACTCTCGCCTTGGAGGGTGTAGGCACGTTGGCCTTACCTTGTTTGCTAGTTGGCGAAGTAAAAGTCATGCATGCTCTGCTTTTGAATGGATGAGCAACATTTTTCCTCTTACCTAGAGTTGACCTCTTTGAAGGAACAGCTTCACCAACTTTTTCTGCAATGTCATGAGAAAAGCAAGAAATCACAGAACAGTTTTTAGTGCTAATTCAATATGGCCAAGTTTCTAGATGGAAGAAAAACCAAAGTTTAAGACAAAAGGCAGGAGAATATATTTACCTCCAGCTCTAACACCGCCAGTTGCTTTCTGCCCGAGTTCTTCACCAACAGCTCCAATCTGTCCATATACTTCCTCTGTCATGCCAGGAACAGGTTGACAAATGGGTGCCCACTGTCCATTGTCTCACCTTGTCAAGAAGCCACAAGAGTGTTTGTTGCAATAGCTCGAGAAAGAATTATTATGGGTGAAGAAACACTTGCAATCTCAGGAAGTGGGATCATATTTTACAACTTCTGGAAATTATTGAATGAAAGCCTCAAACCTCTTTAGCAATGTGTCCCAATACTTCAACATTAGCAATGACATGGTGGACATTCTGGCAGTACTAAAAAACCTAAGTGTGGTAGTGTCCTCACTCTACATGGCTATGGTAGCCTTAACAATGTAGGGCCGCATGGTCTTATTCCAGTCTGTCTTATTCAAAGAAGGAGTATGAGGTATGTCCTGATCATAGCTGAACTGCCTCGCAACTCTTTTTGGGCAATAGCACTCTAAACTCCATGTCCCCAGCCATGTAATGCATGGTAGCATGGATGGTGTTATCATTGCTAGCATCTCTAGATGGCTTGAGTCTCCCACAATAAAGTCCGTAAACCTGGTTTCCAAGCACTGCTGGGAATGTATTGTTGAAAAAGCTCACTTCGGGTGGACCAAACGTCCTTGGCATTATCTTGTATGCATGAAAATTAAAACCACTATAATTATCCAAGAGGCCATCAACTTTTGAGACTACTTACCCTTTTACCTGCCTTTTTCCTATCCAAGAGCAGGCTAACGGAGCTGTTCCACTGGTATAATTGCACTTCACCATAGGATATTCCTTCAAAGCTTTCCCATTGGTAACACGACCAAGCTGGTATAGAAGAAATCTCTCCTATGCAAACATTTGCAACAAAGACAAACACACATGTGACTCAATGATATAGTAGCTGGCACCAAGGATCTCATCAAAGTGAAGCAAATTAAGCATGTGATAAAGCGTATCTAACATTAGCAGAGCCAAAGGAAGCCTCACACCTTTAGCCAAGCGAATTGCCAAGAGAATGCACTCAGCCATAATTTTGTGATTCGAGAAATGTCCAAAGACAAACTTGCTCAGCCAAGCTATAAAGAAGGTTGCACGTACATATGAACTATCCTTGCATTCGTCAGTTCGAAAGTATCACATCCAAGTCGAAAAATCAACGTTGTACTCTCCTCTCTCTGAATGGGAAGAGGCATTGTTGTTCTTCCTCATCACCTTCTTCAAAGCCACTTGCATGGCAAGCTCTTTCGACGTCAATGTTATGTGCCATGGATCATTTTCCCTAACAATAGGCAGCAACATCAAGTTTGCCACATCCTCTAAAGTCATGGTCACTTTTTCGAAAGCAAGAATGAAAGTATGGGTACTTGTGCACCATCTTCGCACCAAGTGTTGGAGGCACTCCACATTGCCACTAGTCTACAATGTCTAACTCAGAGCCACCAACTTAAAGATCCTGGTGGTATGCAATATTTCCACAAAGCCATTCTTGACAAGCATCTCCTTAGCCCAACTCGTCCAATCCTCTATATTATTGAATAGAAACGCAAAGTGAATTGGCACTAGCAACAAATCTTGTCTTTCAAGCCTCGCTCGTAACACGTTGTTTGGCAAGGGAAACCATGCTGTACCAACACCATCCCCTTTGAAAGACTCAAGTAAAACCAGGTTTTTTTGCTTTTGAAGTGCCCTTTTCGTGGACCAAGCATTGGATTCTAAAAAGCCGTCCCGGAAGGTATACCATGGGTCATGGTACAGCTACACTCCATTGATTGGGTAAAGATCAACCATTTCCAAGGCCTTCTTTGAGAGAAAAAGAGGAAGAGATGAAGGAAAGCAAAGAAGTGGGTTAGAAAAAGCATGAGAAATTTGCAGCATGCAACCCTTTAAAAAAAAAAAAAAAGAGCAGAGGAATAGGGATTCACCATGACCTTGGTTGGAAGAAGGATTCTATCAAATTTACACACTAGATTAATCTCATTGGAAAGAATCCAGCCACCTTGTTAAGACACCTAGGAGTTTTGTGAAGAAGATGGCAGAAATCAGAGGCGCAAAGTAAAGAAAGAAGGGTTCGATGGTTTTGTGAAAAAAAAGAATAGGAAAACTGAAAAGTTTGCTATGAAACAAGGAGGATGATACAAAGGGGAATTGAAGGCAGCATTGAGTGCATCGACCAACCACTCTGCCACTTGTCATGCATCAACATGGTAGAAATTATCAAAAGGGGCAACAAGTGAGGTGCAAGCTATTTTAATGCATTTGCCTACATGTGATCTTCTTTAAAATCTCCCTTTTTTACACGTCATCACAAGGGGATATTTGGGGAAGATTCAGTTTCTTCATTTTTCTAAAAGGGAGTTACTTTCTTTCTAATTGCTAAAAATTGCCTTGGGAAACAATTTTGAATTCTCTTCAGATTTGAACCACATGTGAATAGTGTAGAAAATTGCTCTATAGTAACTACTCAGAACATATTATTTTTCCAAGAAGAAAAGCAATGCACCTCGTGCAAGAATTTTGGCAAAGATGCGACTGAAAGTTTACTCACTAGCTAGTCAGAGTCATTGCCGAGTACTCTCTGAATCACACTCAACTTTTTCTAAAACATTATTTTAGAAAAAGTTGTAAAGAAGGGTTTGGCCAAGTGTTGGAGCAATTTTCCTTATCTAGAATAATTTTAGGTTAAAACCCCTTTTTGGTCCCTCAACTATTGTACGGACCCCCGATTTGGTCCCTGAACTCAAAAAATCCCTGATTTGGTCCTTACTGTTTACCATTTTTACCCCGATTTGGTCCTTCCGTTAAACAC